ATTTATCAATCAGCCTTTTGGCTGACCTCTGGCCAAAAAGGCTTGCTTTGCTTTACCAGCTTTTGAAGTTTTCCCTCTTCTTTATTATTGCTTTATTTGTCAGCATAGCACGTAGCAGGATCTTTACTCTCAGTTTCTGGATGGTTGGAGCAATGTTTGTAGTGTGAAAGCAAAGCTTGATTTCTTGTAATTTAAAGCAGCCTGTTCAGTCCCTAGGCAGGTCAGAGCGGACCCATATTAGTCTGTCCTCACCTGTCATGGAAAAGGAGCTAACTGAGTCATCCAGCCAGAAAGCTTGATCATCACTCATTTAAGGTGCTGTAATACTCATATTCCCTATCTTAGTAATACCCTTTCAGGGAAGTTGTGGTCAGCAAAGAGGGACAAATTACATAATTATGCCATGTCTAGCTTCATACTGTATGGCTTTCTTTAACACTTGATTCAAATATGTAAAGAAACACCAATGACTAAAAATATTTACGTACTACTTTCTCCTCTATGCCATTAGAGTACGCACATAAGCAGAAAGACACCAACACTCACAGTACAACAATAAGAGGGTTTTTTAATGTCATAAGTGCAAAATAGAAGATAAAAATCCATACTACTGACTGATATTTGTGGATGATCTTAGCTATTTTTAATAGTGGTTTGAAAAAGGAAGGCTTTAAAAACTGTGCATGTTTGAAAGTAGTAGTCTGTTACGCAATAACAATTGTACTAAACAGAAAAAGAGCAGCTGTTACTGGAAGTTACATTTAATTGTTGTATTTTCCAGCACAAGGTTGTTTGGTGGGAACAGTGGGGAAAAAATGCAAGCAACTGCCAAAAACCAAGCGTGTGAGGTGAAACTTGAATTTGCTCTCATGAGAACTTTGTAAGATTCATAAGTAACTGAGAAAAGCATGCTGTATTGAAATCTCTGGAGATCTATTGTACTGTATAGAGACAGAGCACAGCACACAGTGCTGGCAGGAGAAAGAAAGGAGAACAGAAAATTGGAGAGGCTGACAGGAAGGTAAGGGTCATTACGATGGATGGAGGATAAAATGCCTACTGCCACTTCAAATCGGGTTGTGGGGGTTTGTTTTGTTTTGCTTTGTTTTCTTTTGTGGCTTCCTCAGTAAATTTGAAGCTCCTGATCTTTGCCTCTTCCACTGCCCCCACAGAACAGGTTTTCACGTGCTTTTTAAATGAAAGGAGCAAAGCGTGTCCCTGTTACAAATCTGTAGAGTAGAAGATAGATAAATTAGCTTGGGGGATTTTGTAAGCACTGTAGGCCAGATCTGATTGATATATGCATGCCTTAAAAGTAATCTCTGAAGAGGGACTTAAGCAAAATATCCCACCTATGTTCTGGCTGTCATTAGACTGGTGGGAAAGCTGTGGCAGAAAGCGTTCCGAGGCAGGCTGCAGGCAGGAACAGGAGAAGGTCCAGAGGCGAGGGGCCTGGCCCTCTTGTTGCACGGTGCCTCCTGGCCCAGCAGTGGCCATTACTCATGCGGGAGCATTTCTCTGCTTTGGCACTGCTTTTGACCCACAAAATCTGCCACAGAGGCTGCACTCTGGGAATACAGCTTGTTAGTCAATGTGTTCTTCCAGCACAAGGCTATAAAACATTGTAGGTCATAACAGGCAGCTATTTATTTCTTAATATGTCCTTAGGTGCCAGAGGGGAGATTTTTTTACAAAAATAAAAATAGTACTGGAATGCATTTATTAGGGATTGTCTGTATTTATTTTGAACCACAACACATTCATCCAGATCCAGTCAAAACTACAAGAAAGTACAGTTTCCACTATATTCTGAGCTCGATGCTCTGAGCCCTTATCCTTGCCTGTATTGCCTCCCGTTGTGAATAATTCCACTGGCTTCTATGAAACAACATGCAGTAGCCAACCTTTAACCCAGAACTATTTGCAGGATCACTCTCCAAATTACTTCAATACTAAGTTTAGCTCTAAAGAACAAAAAAAAAAAAAAACCAAACCAGACTGAAAGTTGAGCAATGCTCTGAAAATGAATTTTTTTCAACATTAAAACAATCAAGCCTGATTACTGTTAATTCATTAACCAGAATGTCTTACAGCTGGAAAAGCTGTTTCTTGTTGCTGACTGTATAATATTAATTTAACATGAGTGCAACCACTGAATACCAGTTGATACTACAAAATTGCATAGTTTATGCAAAGTAAAATACTTCTGTTTTGCACAAAAGAGATTGTGCTGTCTGCAGAATGTTATGGCATGAGATGATTATTATGCTCCCATTATATTATGGAGGTACTGGTCATGACTCTGTAATTAAGACTCAACTGAGTTTTGTCCCTAAATCGGGAATTCATTCTTATACTTATAAATGTAAATTATGTCAAATCTGAGACAGAGATATAACACCTTGATCCTGAATGAAATTCTGGAGCTGGTGAAGTCAGTACAAATTGTGGTATTAGTACCATGCATCTTCAAAGAATGTACAAACCTATTCACTAGTTAATTAAAGTTTAAAAATAAGTTGTTTTGTTTTTTTTTTTAAACAAACACAAAATTAACAACAATTTGTTGAGAGCATATTTTGGATATGGCTGTGCTATCACGCTAGTGTGTCACTGCTTATGATTTGCATGTAGATAACTTCAGACAAGTAAATATCACACAGAAATTCAGTGCATAGGAATGGCATAAATGAGAAACAAGATTTCATGTTGATTTAAAGGCAGGACCTGTTGCGATCAGAAGGATTTTGAGAAAATGTACAACTTGTATACCTTGGCCAATGCACAGACACGCAAGTGTGGGCTGGTCACTCAGTAGGCTGTATAAATAAACTGTCTCTTTCTCATTCCTGACCTGTATTCTGCTTTTCCCCATGTTTTTGATGGTGTATTAAAGGAAGCAATATTGTGAAGCATGTGAAGCCTACAGACTATGCAAAATTCTAGCACAATAAGCAATAATCTGCTTCTATCATTTCACACCAAATCAGTTACTTCTGGTTAATTGGCTGTCTATTTTTATTTTCTGCACAGACATTTCATGTTAGATGTTGGCGCCAGTGGAAGAATAAGCACTTTTCAGACCTGAGGGCAGCCCTCTGGCTGTTCCTACCTATGTAATCCCTCTCCTGATGCAGATGGCTGGTGGCCACCTAGGAGTGCTCGTGCCAGGTGTCACTGAGGGGTGAAAGACAGCACTTGCTGCAAGGAGGAGCAAAAGGAGGCTCAGTCTGCAATCGCTTTTGCACACCATTTTGTCTCATGTAGTGCAGTTTATCAATATACAGGACAGATGAACTAGCTTGTCTGTGCTGCCAATATAAGGTCTACAGTTAGGAATAATTTCCACATTGTACTCTTGATTCTCCCGTATTTGCCTCTGCTTGGGTTGAAGACTGATTCTGTAAACCTTCCCTTGTTACTGCGGCTCTCCAGATAATGACACAATGCAGTCAAATGTGGATGGGTATACCTATATTAGTTTTTCACTCATATCAGAGAAATGCTGAATCAAATGAGCATTTTGCACAGGGTTGATATGGTCTCTGGGTAACCTGAGTTCACTAGTTCTGTAAGTTTTCTTCAGAAACATAATTAAAATTGGAAAAATAGTGCCTCAAATGAAGAGCATCATCTGACTTACAGCTGCAGCAAGCAAAACTTTGCTTGACCTGCTAGTTCTCTCCCTTTGCTGCCATGAATTCAGCAGGGCATACCAGGAGGGAGCATGATAGACATGTGACACAGGCCCAATCTGCCCAAATGCTGAAGCAGATTCTCTCCGCAGTATTTTGCAAAATATTTCTGTGGATACTTCACCAAAGTGCACTGGCAACAAGAAGGGTTCCTCCCTTCAGGAGTGAGATCAGAAAAATACTGTAGAATTCTAAGGAGCAGAATTGTAGGAGTCCAAAGGGAATAGCATCCTAAAATGAGGGCATTGAACTTGGTACCCTGAAGTTTTGCCCTGAAAATAGCTCCGGAGCATCACTGAACAGGATGTCTATTTATTCACGATCACCACCACCAACCATATATATGTATACATATTAGAAATGAACTTTCATTTAATTGGATACATTCAATTCACAATGATTAAGCAGAAATAATTTCATTTTTCAAGGCTGGATATTTAGTGAGTGGTGTACGTCCAACCGCTTTTCTTTAGTGATAGAGAACCCATGCTTCAGAACTCAGATATGGAGCTGGCCTTCCTTGGGGAATTCAGAACTAGGACTAAGTCTGAGACCAGTTTCTAATTTTAATTACTGCTACCAAAATAAAAATTACTCCTGAAAAGCTGATGACCACCCCCCAAGTAGATCAGCAGCAGAAGGCCTCTTTAAAGCTTCTACAGATATAGGCCTTGTGCTGACCTCTGCACAGCATAAGCCTCTGCTGCTGGCCCATCTCCACAGGAGTTAATTTTATCCAGAAAGCACAGTGGAAGAGGTTCATATTGATATTCTAGGTTGGGATTTTAATATTGGGTAGCATAAAGGTCAAGAAAATGATTTAAAAATAACTGAATATTATCGCTATGAAGAGCATGTGCAGAAGTACAGCTTTATCTTTTTGGTGTTGATTTTATCACACACAGTTTTTACCTTGTGTGATCGTATTCTGAATTACTAAACCTTATCACTGATGAGTTGATTCCTTGCTGTTCAATTCATGACTCCATAAAAACTTAGTAAGCTATTTAGAACCACTTCAATTGCCATTTAGGCAATTCAGGTATTGTTTTTAATTTTCAGATGAGCCATTCTTAAATAATGGCTCTAAGAAGTGAGCAGTGCTCTTACACATTAATTCAGCACCAAACCAATTAACTACCTACGCATGCTGTTTTGTAACAATATCTCATCTATTTTCAGTTAATGAAGCAACATGATTAAGATCATATGTGTTGAATTAACAGGTCAGTGCATTGTCTCACTACAGTTTAACCTAGAAGATGACTTGATCTGAAAGCCATATGAAAAGAACAAAAATTTACCCTTCCTGTCCCCAAGTTTCCAGTTTTGAATGTGATCAGCCCGATGTTTTGTGGAAAGAGGTCAGTTTTGACCTTGTGTTCTATATAGATTTTCTGCTTTGAAATATGAATTTCTACTTGAGGCTTACAGGTTTTATAAAATGGTCCAAACAATCATTTGCATAAAAACTACACAACAAAATGACGGAGAAAATTCTTCACTTCTTACTCCATGTTGGTCAGTTCGTATTTATCATACACATCATTTTCTTCTCCTGGCTGAGTATCTGAGTGATGAATTTCAATAAAAACAATATAGGTCATTGCTCCAAGTACACCTCCCAGCATAGGTGCAACTATAGGGACCCACCACCAATTATTTCCAGCCCTGTAAGACAAAAAAAAAGTGACCAAGAATTATCGTTGTTTGTCACTCTAGTGAACACCCTACCTTTTGTTTGGCAATGAACAAATACAGTGGTGTGATGCTCACTGTACTGTAGACCTTTCTATTTTTGTCTCGCATGTCTGTAAATGGATGACACCCCTGTCTGTCCTGCTCGTATTGTGACTGAAAAGCTAAGTAATGACCACCAGGCAGGTTGGTCTACGTGCTGTACTTGCACTTTAGAAAATAAGGCCTCTTTACTGCGTGTCTGGTTTGGGGGCAGGGGATAATTTCTCCCTTGTGGAAAATGGGTTTCATTGACTTACAATGAAGTTACCCGGGACATATTTATTGCACAGCAATCTTGACTGATGCTGTTGCCAGATGCTCATGAATAGGTTTCCAGGAGTGATTAATGCAAATATATGTTGCAAAAATGGGTTATCTCATCTGCATGGAGACTTGCAGGTTGAGGCCTGCAATAGTATATACGGTGTTCCTCTTGACAAGTATAATAGATTATACTTGCTTTTGAGTATATTTGCCTTAAGGAATGTACTAAAACACAGTGGCTGTAAAGTGGATTATACTTGACTAGAGTGGTCAAGATTCAAATTTCATGATGTAATATCTTTGTGTTTGAAATGTGGGGTCTTTCAGTAACACGTAAATAAGTGTTTAGAGGTTTTGTTCACCTAAAACTTAATCTTTCTTATGATTGCTGTGTTCAGCAAGAAAGTCTGGCATATTGGCTCCACTGAAATATTTACATTTACTTTGCACAATTACTAGGATTTAATTTTAAATGTGTAGATTTATGAACATTTTTAAAGAAACAAGTCCACCATTAAAAGGTATAAAACAATAAATAACAAACTTTATGCAGGATGTAGAATTGCTTTCCCTTTCCTGGACATCCACATTTAGGCAGTGAATTACTGAGTACTGGTTTCAGAGCACAGACTTTCTTAACTGTACTACTGGCGCATGAAGGTGTTTTGATTCGATAACGTGCTGTATTAATTGAATAAGGGAGTCTGCAGAGAAAACCCAGCCACCTCAATTTCATGCATATTGAAAATGGAGAAGTAACATTTTTTCTCCCAGAATTACAAAGGGACAAATTCATCTGAGAGGAACTTTACAGGAAGCTGCCAGGGGAATTTTTAAACTGTAAGGATAATTATTCAGCACTCAGTTGTATAAATTTATGCAGAAGTGAACTTGCAGTTAAGTCACAACACGAGAATAGAACAGGGCTAATCTCACGCTGCCCTATTGATGATGATCTTACTCCTCGTTCAGAAATGCCTTGGTTGTGTATGTTTTGCCTTTGGAATTATTTAGGTTTTGCCCTGAGGATATAAAATAACTCCTGATAGTGTTCTATTGAACAGTTTATAGAACTGCTTGATGTTGAATCGTGAGTGTCTGTTGAGCCCCTGAATTTCTGGAACAAGTACAGACTAAGGTTTTATTGAATTAATCAGCAACAACAAAATCTATACCAAGTACTTGCATGTATTCCTCTGCGTGTGCCTGTGTGTGTATGTGAGCCTGCAAGGAAGGTGTTTCTTGGCAGGTTTCTCTCTTGGCTTGTTCCATGAACTGACATGTGCCTCGTTGGCTCCTGCATGACCTTCTCCAAACCATGGCCTGTATTTGCAGCAGCTGCTGTCAGCCATGCTTTAGACACCCTCTGCTAAGATGATGGGTGTAGAGTCTTTACGGAGGGGGATGCCAAAGCTGAAATGAGATCAGGACACAGCTGAGTTACGAGTTTCCATGACACTTAATCCTCCTTCATTGACAGAGGAGCAAGAACTCTTTGTGACAAGCCCAGATAGCTTCACTGAAGTAACCTTAGTTCCCTTATACGCTAGCTTACAGCTCTGCTGCCAAGTTAGCAGGAAAACAGCCAGTCATGCCCTTGTCATCATCAGGTGGTTTTGCTGTTGGGCAGAGCAGGAGGGAGCGGGCACAGGCCTGGCAGGGGCCGCTTTCGTCAAAGTTCCTAGGAAACTACAGTGTATAAGCCGCGTGGACTGGGAACTTTGGCCCATTTTAGACTCACAAATACATTTCTCACCTAGGCAGCTGCTGCAGGATGGTGAGATAATGCTGTTTGCTATAAGAAATGCTGGGATAATTCAGGCATTTGGCAGTGTGGAAGGTGTCTGGCTACTGTCCTTTGCTCGGGGAAGAATGCAGAATATTTCAGAGGCCGCTTTCCCATCCAGATGCCTGTGCAGCCAAGAGGTGCGTCTCATGACCCTTCCCAAAATGCAGTTTAGTTTAGTTTAGTCCGGGCGTCTTGTGCCCGGTGCCGCCGGCGGGGCGGGCGGCCACGAGGTGTCAGCGTTAGACCCAGCCGCGGCGAGGGTGCGAAAGGACCCGCAATAAACCGAGGGGGCAAGATTATGTGGCTAGCTTCGCGCGCTGCTGCGAAATACTGTTCTGTAGAGCTGTTTCTCAATTTCTCATTGCCTTTTGATGCTCTGTGCTTGTCCAATCCGGAGTCTGGTATTTGTACTCAAAGCTTTGGCTGTTTTCTCACTACACAAAACTTTTCTTAAGCTTATTAAAATATTAAGCACATGCTTAAGAAACACTCCTGGTTATCTCCGTGGTTTTGGGACAAATCACTGGAAACTTTGAGGTCTCTGAAGTCAGCAGTTCTCTCTAATGATGGGGACAGTTGCCACCTCTGACACCTACTCCCAACAGGCTGAGGAGCAATTTGCAGGAGCAGGCCACAGAGCTGGCTACCCCTGTTGTGTGCAAAATGGTGCTTTTTATAGGGTGCTGGACAGACACACTCGCACACGCACACCCCCACACCCCTTTCCAGCTGCAGTGGGTCAGAAGAGCTTGTAATGGGAGCCTTTAACCAAAACAAATACAGTTGCATTGGCTTGGGAAACAACACCATGCTGAGAATCTGATAAAGCCAGAATTTACTGGACCTGCAAGCACAAAGAAGGGTAGAGGGGATTTTCTCCCTGGGAACCGATTATCTCGGTGTGTAGAGCATTTCCTTGGAGGCAGGGTGTAGAGACTTTCACCCTTCTCTAGCTGATCTGTTCCAAAGCAAGGCTTTCCTGGCGGTGCTTGGCAGCACCCAAACGCGCGCTGACCTGGACAGGGAGCAACTTGATTGCCCTGTGAGATGCTTCCATCCTCACTCCAATGAATGCTCAGTGTCTCTTCAGGGTTTCCTATTGCTTGGTTTGTACAGCACTCCCCTTGTGACACTGTGGAGGTTTCATGCTTAGGTCCCAGTTCCTGGCCATGCCTTTTACTAGAGACCTTAAGCTCCTGCCTCAAGGTTGTGAATTCCAGTTAAGCTGAGACATCCAAGGTTTAGCTGTTGCTGCATCACTTAAGTCTCTCACACATGTATAAAGCCAGCAGAGCATCAGGTGGTTCAGGATCCCAGCTATAATCATTCAGACTTCTCCTGTGGTCTGTAACTGATACAAAGCTTCCAGCTACCTAAGAAAGCTCAAGTTCTTCCCAAGTCCCTCCTGGATCTGTGCTGTAAATTGATGAGAATATATTCCTGTTGCATCATTCCCTTGAACTTGGTTATAGCTGTAGCCTTCTAACCAAAGGCAGGGAAGACGACTTCTTTCTCAACTTATACATCCCTGAGACTCCTGTGAGTTTATTCTGGCAATGACCAGAGATCTCGTATCTCCTTTTTTTATGTTCTCATTTTAAAATTTCTTAGTATGGTCTTTGCAGTGGGGGTGCCTCTCCTCTCTGTGTATAAATCCTACAACTAAATTAGGGAAGAGCCCATATTGGTACAGATGCAGAGTTTTCTTGCAATTTCTTAAATGTAAATATAAGACCTTACTTTTGGAGATGAGGGGAGTTCACAGGTATTCTGTGACTAGACCACAGTACCACTAGGCTTCCAAACTTTTTCTGCAATGTAATAGCCAAGTTCATAATATATTACAGATTGTAGCACATGACACTATCATTAACACCATAGTCGACAACTACTTATAATTAAATAGGCATGAGAGAGGACAACCCTAGGTGTGGGATGTCACTCTGTGTGCTGCTGTTTTAAAGAATCAGTCTAATGGTACAGTGGTAAGGGCTACTGGGAAGGAAAAGTTTGGAGGTGACTGGGCTGGAGAGCTGACCTCCTGCTGGTGGCTTGCCAGAGCTGTGTTACGTCTGAGCTTTGGATCTGCCTATGGTGTGACTGTGTGCCTCTTTCTTCTATGCCAGGCCTAGCGTTTTTGTACAAGAAAAGCTTTGCTATTGCTCTCCTCTACTAAGGCACGTGATTTGTGTAGATGGAAGTCACACTAAATAAATACAGTTTATTTGTATTTGGTGAAGTAGCTAAATGAAATCTTTATTAACCAGAGCTCTCTAGTGGTCTTCTGGGGATTGCTACTTGTAAATAACTGGAAAAACAAACTATACAAAAATAAACCAAAAGATCTGCCTCCTGATGACAGATTACTCTTACTTGGATATCCCAGAGTACCTCTTACACTGGATATGTGTAAGCTGTGGATTTGATGTGCAACTAATTAGCTGTGCATTTGGCCAGCCAAGAGCACGTGTGTGTGTGCACACGCATGCCCAGGGATTTGAGAGTGTGCTCTGAAATGTAGGAAAATTAAGGGAGCTTTTTTTTCATTCACTCCTTTGCTCCCAGGCAGGAAGTCAGACTTTTAGATTGTTGTATATTTCTGCAATAACTCAGTAGTAATAATAGGCTAAATCAATCTGATATGTCCGTGTTTTTTACAGCACCTAATAAATATTCCCACCTAGCTCTTTCACGATTTCTTTTTTTTTTCCTGAAAGCTGCAGGACAAGAGAAGAAAGCATTCTTATATTTTCAGTGACCTCTAAGAATCTCTAATATTTTGGGAAGGTTCTGCTTGAAACAATGATTGATATTAGAGATAATGCATGTTTGATTTGGCCTAGAAGCAGGAAATCCTTTATAAAGCCCAGTTTCTAGAGGATGTCTGGCTTAAAGTACATGAATAGCTTCTTCTGGTATGCAAAGAATTACCTATATGTATATAAAGTATGACTTGGTACCATGTTGAATCAGGATCTTACTTTCCTGGGAAGCAATTTTAGCCAAGACCATTTTACTGCATATCCAGGCATACTTACGTGAATACTTCCATCCCCCATCCTGCGACGGCTGTGAAGAGCCTTGGGCCCAGATCCCTGGCCGGGTTCATGGCACAACCACTGTTCATTCCCAAGGAGCAAGTAAGAACAATTATAAGAAGTCCTACTGCAATTGGCTCCAGGCCCTTTGGTACGCTGTTATTTCTGGTGTCAAAAATAGCAAATATAGCCAGAAGAAGAACAGCTGTTGACATCACCTGGCCAATGCAAAGAAAAGAATATTGAGTAAGTATGTGCAGATTCCTTCCACTAATGAAAAAAGGGGCCATGACAGCTCTGTGGATTGTGGTGGCTTAGAGCCGGTATTCAGATTTATCCCACTATACAGAGTAGCAAAATTTGGAACCCAGTGCCTCGCTACTTCACAGTAATGAGAAGTTTTGATACCTGCGATGTAAGAAAAAGACAAGAAATGTTCTGAGGATATTGTTGCAAATCTGCAACAACCTGGTGTGGAAAGAACAGAGGATTTAAAAAGCATCTCCTGTGTGTGGTCTGATGCTTTGTTCCCACACTTTTTCCTAGCAATTCGATAGTTCCATTTACTTGATTTTTGGCAGTTCTGCTGTGTCAATATAATTGGTTACATTGATATAAGAGTGGTTTATGTGACTGTAGCTTACGCTGATGAATTAGACTAAAAATGCACCTTTTCATCCAGGTATTGAATAACAGGAGGGAAAAAAAATGTGAAGACTACAAAGTCAAACCTGAGCAGCCAAAAAATTAAGAATTACCTACATTAAGGTTTCATGTGTAACTGTGATGTGAACTCTGTATTGCATATGCTAACTGAGCTGATGAAGGAAATTTTCTTGGAATTACTTTGATAGAAGAGCTGCTCTGCTTAAATCAAAGGCTTTGTGCATGTCGATTTTGCTAATAATTAACTTAGGGGGAAAAACAGACAAAAGTTTCAGTGATGTCAAAACATTCAGTTTCTATACTGATTTAAAGAAGTTTAAGTTTGAGGGGTTTAAAAACTATTTTTATTTCATCTGGTTTTAATTTTAAAGTATCCATGGGCAAAAAGATCTTATGGAAAAGTCTGTTGACTGATCCAAAGAATTGTCTGTCTTACAAAATTTCAAAACAATGTTTGGACTTTTTGAAGCCAGATTTCACAATCTTCAAGTCCTTTACGTCAGGAATTCCTGTGCTGCAGCAATCCTAGTTTTTCATAGCTTACTTACGTAGTATATATATTTCACATATGCCTGAAGAAGACAGGTAAATTGATTAGAAGTAGATAGAAGATATGAAACTTCATTTTTTCACTGTTGGATAAGTGGGATTAGAGGATACAGATTGGAAATGAAGTGGAGATTTTTTCAGATTCAGTCATATGAAAAATAACAAATATTACAAATCTATTTGCAAAGAGAAGTTGGAGTTTATGGTAGTAGAAAACTCGGTTGTTCAAGGTGTGTTAATCTGGCTGCTTAAGCCTTACTTAAGGAATAACAACTCCACAAAACAGGCTGGATTTTGATGTAAATGGACATAGGTCTGCTGAAATTTATGGAGAAACACTGATTTATGCTGGGGAAAACCTCTTATATATATTGCATTAAAGACTTTTAGAGTGCAACAATTAATATGATGTATGTGGAAAGAACAACTTGAAATTATCTTGCTTGTAAAATAAGGTTACAATGGTACCCCCACAAACAGCATTGCGTTCTCATTGTTATTTTACACAGGGATGTATGACCAAAACAGCGAGGTTCATCATACTGGTTAGAGATCTCTGTATTCTTTTACTGTTTAGTTTTACAGTTTTCAGTATATTTAGTTGTAGAATCAAGACAGCAAGTGCACTTACCTGATCTGCAAATCCATTTATGAGGGACAGATACGGAGCTGGATATGTTGCAAAGATATGTGCCGTTGCGTTAGGTCCTGTAACTTCGAGTGTTCCATTACTATACTCCATAAAAGCATCTATAGAAAACAGCCATTATCCATTTGCACTTCTCCATAAACACTAGGTTTTCTAGGACTAGAATGTATGTGATAGGTCTGTGCACTTCACATTCTCAACTGAAACGGATCTTTTTTTCTGGGAGCATAGTTAATGGGTTTGAGGTGATGTACTAATTATACCCTCCTGTCTCATCTCTCCTCCTGGGCCTTGAAGTACTTGTTTTACCTATTGCAGCTTTGAAAATGGGGCTGTTTTTTTCCCCTGCTCATTGCTCCAAACTCAGTCCCAGGGAGCATTTTCTGATTCTGAACACAGTTGTATTATTCTGTAAGAGGTGCTATGTTTGGCATAATGCCCTGAAAAATGCATAGCATCCTGATTGTACTGCTGTGGATTCCCAGCCACCAGGAATTACTGCTACTCCATTTGACAGTTGTGCAATGACTGCTTCTGGGAATAAACTCTCCCAAGAGACTTCCTCTTTTAAAGAATTTGGAATTTTTCACTCTGCTTGGGCTTTCCACCCAACTGCTATGCTAGTCATCCAAGATGTGAAGGGAGAAGCTAGACGCAAAACTTCAGTTCTTAGTATATTTAAGTTAGTGTATTTTTAAATCTATTGTAAAGATTTATGTATATTGTAAGTACATGTATATTTATGTTAGTATATTTAAAGCGTATTTTAAACAGTACAATATGACTTCTGTGTCAGATTAATTTGCTGCCTTGAGAAGCCCTGAATGATAGAAATAGGAAGTCACTAAGATGAAACACTCAAAAATCTGCATAGGAAGACACTAAGGTGAAACACTCAAAAATCTGCATAGACAGACACGAATAACCATGCCCGTATTTCACTAGTGGATCCAGTGATGAAGTGATAGCTATGAGTAAAGAAACAGGTCTCTGACTCCTGTGAAAGTCACAGTGAGGATGGTTAGGTGCTTCTGAAGCTAGCAGACAAATCTATTTCTTCTTGCCCCTGTTTTTAATAACTTTCTTAAGGCCACAATGTGGATGTAGAGAATATTTAGTTGTTGACTTTGGTCAGGCTCTCAATTGCAGTGTCCCATTATTTTGTTGCATTTAGCTCTTAGGAAAAAAAAAACCAGTAAGGAAACAAAAATTTCTCAGCTGTGAATTACTTTGTACACCTTTAGAAAGGCCTCATATTTAGCAGCCTAACGTGTATATTCCCTCACTCTTTCACGGGTGTTGCTGAAAACAATAGCACCTAGCTCAGATATGTGTTTATGGGGAAGATGGAGATATTGAGCTCCTATGTCTGTTTTTCTACCGGTGAGTTTTCAGTGGACCTCAATGAGTACAGGACACTCCTGCAAGTTGCAGGAAGGAAAAAAGTACAGAAGAGGTTTGGGAATTAATAAGAATGAAAGGAGGGCAAAATACTTGAGCAGAGATAGGGATATGAGAAAATCCCGCACTCCTGAGTAACAGGAAGAAGTCTCTAACTCTAGCCCTAAGTTCCCTATCTTGGCTCCCTATTCTACTGCTGCCCTTTGGCAGCGTACAGCAAATCCAGCCCTAACCCCATGTGCATGTTGATGTACTGCTGCATTCCGGCCACAGCCCTAATCCTGGCTGTCTGGTTTGAGGAGGACTTTGACTCAGGTGGAAATCCTGTTCTGGAATACCACAGTTTCCAAATTCTAACACAAACCTTAAAACAAACAATCAACTCTCCCCCCTCTCTTTCCTGCCCCAAAACCCAAAAAACCAAACCCCACCAACCTCCAAAACAGTAGCCACAGTTCCTAAAGATTTTTTTCTGCTTGTGATTACTGCTGGTACTGAGCACCTAGCTGATATACAATAGGTATTTCCATTGTCATTTTTTCTGTTGCACCTAGACCCAGCACTGTCTGCAGACATAGTAGCTGTATGACAGAGGCTTTGGAGGGCTGGGACAGTAGGAGCAGAGTTTTGGAGTAGGCAATTGAAGCAACTGATCCAACTGAGTGGATTCATCAAGTCGGAAAGTCTGTTACTAAATTTTTTTCCCTTTGTGGCACACTGTAAAAGAAACATGCCTGAAGGATAGGAGTAATCTTTTTTTTTTTTTTTCTTTTTTCCATTCTAATATATGACCCCTTTATCATTCTACCTGGAGTTCATTGCCTTGGAGAGCTACCTCTCTAGGGTGGTCTGAAGTTTAGTCAGGAGGGACTTGATCTCATATCCTGTAACCTCAATGAACGATGTTGGTGATACTTGCCTACAGGCAGTTGGATCAGGTCTTTAATGTTTCTAATTTGCTTGGAAGATGAATAGCCCTATATCCTGGCTATTAAGTAATTTAAAATCCTTACTGAGAAATACATGATCTCAGAGTATCTGATTTCCCATGAATAATTTTTCTAAATTTCAGAACATTTCCTGGAGTATTAGTGTTTCAGAGAAGTTGTAGGATAACTGGAATGTTTAAGCCTTTTTTTTTTTTTTCCTTCAAATTCTTTATGCTTCTTCCTTTCCTCTTTATGGCTTTAGCTTCAGTCCTGTCATTAGCCCTGTGTGAAGAGAGTCCTCTGCCTGCTTGGCATTCATTGAAAGATTGAGGCCTTAGAGACTGCCTGACCTCTAGTTTGTCCTGTGAGTGTGTCTAAGGTGTACTCACCATAATAAATCCCAAAGACAGCCGCTGCTCCAACAAATGCTCCTAGGAGTTGTGCTAATATGTAAATTGGCAATTTGGTCCATTTTAATCTTCCAGTCACGCACATGGCTAACGAAACGGCTGGGTTTATGTGACCACCTGAAAAATAAATCACAAAATAAGTCATATGGATGACACAGATACATGAGAGAAGGTGAAGGATTTGTAAAACTGTGAGTGCTTCTGAGCATGAGACTAGTACATCCTTTTCTAGATGTTATTTTGCAATTAACTGCTGTCTGTAATTAAACTGAAACAACTTGGATGAAATTAGAAGGGGGTAGGGGAAAAAAGCCAGTATCCACCAAGATCCAGCTTCCCTCTTGATGTTTGCAGACTGTGCTATTTATCAGACTGCTGTCCCACAGTATGCAATCATCTATAGATAACTTTTCTAGAAAAAGCCTAAACTTGCCCTATAGGTTGTGATGGAAGGGTCCATTATTCTGCACATATTCTCTCTCTCCTCAAGGCTTTGACTTTTTATTTTTTAGGGAGATTGGGGCAGCAGAACATTCATTCAGTTTAGCAAGCATGTATTAAGATTAAGGACTATTACTGGCTTGATCATATATCTTGAGGCAGATATGGAGTACTCTGGATTTCAGTCATGCTTATGTCACTGTCTTCAGCCTGGGGTTACTTAGGAACTCAGTTTTTAGGAACAGAAAATAAAATAATGTTAGGGCTGTCCGGCTTCAAGCTGACTGTGGGTGAGCTATGCCCGCATGGGATCTGGGGACAGCAGCGTGTAGCACTTCACCACACGTTTTCATCAAGTTCTTACACCCTCCAGAAAGGTCCACGATAAGGAAACTGATAAAGTAGCTGTGCTGAAACAGAGTTGTGTTTCCTGGGGAATTTCCTTCCTTTGTATTTAGGAGTAGCTACACCTAAACTCACACATGGAAAAGATTTCAGCAACATTGAGTTCTTTATGACAACTTTAGTTTGTAAAATATATTTATTATTATGTCACATGCTAATCACTTCCCTCAACATCTTTTATCAACATGGAAAAAAGTGTTGAATACTTTTGGAAAACTTTGATTTTTACAAATATGTGGTTGATACTTAAGAAATGCAAATTGCCAAATAAATAAACAGGTGAAACAGTACTCCACAGTAAAAGTGCAGTAAAACCCAAGTCTTGCAAGGACATAGCAGATTCATTGCTTACCTTCCAGGTAAAGTCTCATTTCAGCCCATGTGGTTATCAGAAAAAATGGCCTTTGTCTTAATAAAATAACTAAAAGAGCGTGACCTTTGTCTGTCAAAGGCTAGCCATGGAGAAAGGGCCTCTATGTACAGTTTCTGTGTTTGCTTGCACTTCAGGTCAGTGAGTCATTATCTTATGAAGTCCAGGCACCTTTGATACATAATGAACTGACAAACACAGATAACAAGCTGGATAAAACCTTCTTTGTATCATTTCCAAAACTCTGACCTAGTAGCACCAGTCTTGAATCAATTTTGAATTCCTCACTGTGTTTCAAATTCTTCAGCACAGAGCAAATAGATGTATGGCACCTTATTTAAGAGCCCTTCATGTGAATGTTGATAAATTGTTGTCTTGTCTTTTGTTCTTTACTCTGGCTGGAATGAATCATTTTCCTTTCAACACTTGGTATTGTTCCCCACCTGTATATAATAGAGTGATTATGATGGCAGGACAAGTCATAATAATATTAGAGATGTCTGATTAACATTAAATCTGGAAAGGAAAAGTCTAGTTGAAGGCTCTCACGCTGGCATAGGGGAGTTAAAAAATTCTTGGTTCCTGCGCCAGTGGTAGTTTCCTAGTTAAAAAATAAAAAAAAAAAAAAAGGGTCTGCTTTGGAAAGGGTGTTCCTCGTTCTTTTGTACTTGCAGTGATGACAATCATGAGTTTATTTGAAATGTTAAGTTGGAAAAAATGGTGGGAAGTTACCTAGACATTGAGGAAAATGAGATGGAGGAAAAGAAAAGAGGGGAATTTTCCTAGATAAGAGCTGAAATTCACCAAGTGTGATGACTACGTATTTTATGTTACCATGAATTCAGAATTTCATAAAGAACTGATGCAAAATATTTTAGCAGTACTTCAACGTGAGACTTCATGGCCAAAGAGTCACAGAATTCACTAACAAATTCTCTACAGGAACTGATATTCTAAAGCATCCGCTAGTAATCAGATGTTGGATAGTCATAGCCTGCTGAAATATCTGTTCCTATTCTTTCACAAAGAAAATGCACTGCATGCAGAATCTTTTGTCATGGGAAAAACACAGGAAGCACAATACTGCAACATCTGCAACTGCTCTGCCCGGCTGGGATTGAACTCTTAATCTTCTGTATAATAGAGATGAATATCCCTTAAAGATGCAAATATAGGACAGGTTAGTGCCTTTAGAGATTTTTTTTTTTTTTCATGATATTGCATTAGAGGAGTTTACCAGCCTACAGGTAAACCGAGAGCTGTAGATTAAAGTTGTTCAGATAATAGGAATGTACTGCTGAATTAACTTTGCGTGGTACTAGGGGACCATTCTGCTCTGTTTCAATGACAGTAACAAGAGTGCCTGTTTTGCAGTACCTTGAGCATTTTCTAATGTGAACTTAGAAACTTCCTCATGCATGGTGTCTCTGTAAAAGAATTTGTAAAAGAGAAGAGAAATGGCCCCAGTAATCTCTGCTACAGCGACTATTTATAATGGCCTAGTTTTACCTAGAGGTATCTGTCCAGATCGACTTTACCATTTCTGTGAATGGTAAGAAATTCCTCTATGAGAACTGGAGTACAGGGGCACCATTTGCTTAAAGAGGGCAATATAAACTCCACATGCAACATGGAGTATTGTGCATTATAATACAGAACACTGCATATTATTACAACCCATCATTTTCTATTTTAACGGAATTTAAATGTTAAAAAGTGATTATGTTAATGTTCCTGATATTAATTTGGCCAAACTCAATAGTGGAAATAGGAGAAAAAGCACCATCCAACATGGCACATGAAGACACTGACTAGTTAGCCCAGCTACAGACAAAAGAGAGATTCCTGACCAATATATAGTAAGGAAATGTTACAGCAGAAACAAAGGGCCAATGGTACATTGACACTGTATCAGAATGTATCTCTATACTGAATCTTTTTGCTGTTTCTGCTTTCTGTGATCTTCTGCGAATAAGGAAACAGACAGAAGCAGACTTGCTACTGCCTGTCATAGGACATGGAGAGATGGATTGGACTCTGTAAGGTGAACCCTGCTCGTTAAACCCATTAGGGGGTCATTCTGCCTTCTACCTACTTGGCAACCATTGTAGCTGGTGACTGCTGCATTCTGAAAGCTTTTCATGGTTATTTCCTTAAACACAGTGCCTATGCTGTCCAGGATCATCTCTATTGACGGAATCTTCCAAAGCAAGAGCAAACAGATTTCTGGTTTGCACAGACCACTTTCCATAAAGGCCAGAAGTCTGCCATGGTTTGCACACAGTAGTTCAGATCAGAGTTTGGTGGAAGAATTTGTCAAATGCAAAGAATAGAAGGAACCGAACAAAAGCTTTACTAGTGAAACTCTGATGCAGACTCTGCTGTAATGGTGCTTGTTATTGCTAGATACATAATTGTTTACATCATGAAATTGAAGCAATTTGATAAAGTAGCCTTAAACTTGTGGCAATAAATGCTGTATAAGAAAAAAAAAAAAAGTCACTTACCAGAAACCCCCCCAGACACATACACTGCTATGGTGACTGCCATTGCAAATCCAACTGATACTGTCATGGGCCCACCATGGGCTCCTCGGCTAAGGACAGCCTGTCCCACACACCCACATCCAAGTGCCTGTATTTTAAGAGAGAAACATAAAACCATGAGCGTGTCTGTCAAATGTTATTGGTTAGCTTGGAATCCTGTTGCGTAGAGCAACAAAGATGATTGAGGGATTGGAGCATCTCCTTTATGAGGAAAGGCTGAGAGAGCTGGGACTCTTTAGCGGAGAAGAAAAGGCCGAGGGGAGACCTTATTATTGCTTATAAGTATCTAAAGGGTGGATTGAAGGAGAATGGAGCCAGACTCTTTTCAGTGGTTCCCAGTGACAGGATGAGGGGCAACAGGCACAAGCTGGAACATAGGAAGTTCCATTCAAACACAAGAAAAACTTCTTTACAGTTTGGGTGACAGAGCAGTGGCACAGGCTGCTCAGGGAGGTTGGGGAGTCCCCTTCTCTGGAGATTTTCAAGACCCGCCTGGATGCAGGCCTGAGTAATGTGCTCTGGGCAATCCTGCTAGCAGGGGAGTTGGACTAGATGATCTCTAGAAGTCCCTTCCAACTCTGACGATTCCGTGATTCTTGCTGCTGTCCAGGTATAGCTGAAAATGTTGTTAAATATTGAAGCAAGGCTAGAACTTGAGATTAGTGGCATGTGTGCCATTGTTGCCTTTGCGACAATGAACATTTGCTATTTTCCCCTGCCCTGGGATCAGGAAGCATGTTTGCAAATAAGGACCTCTCTCTCCCCAGCCACCAGATTTCAAGTACAATGATGTGATATGGATCAGAACTTGGAGACTAAACAAGATCTCACAAGGTCTACAACAAATCTCTGCATCTGAAATTGAAGAAGGAATTAATTCTGTGTGGTAAGTTTTCAGTTCCAGATTGTTGTTATAAGTAATGAAAAAATTACTATAAAAGTTATGAAAGATAGTTGAAAAGGCTTTTAATGTCTAATGCTGGGTATGTTGCAGGGTATGTTCTAGGGAACAGCAGAGGAGCCCTGTTTATGCTAAACAAGCAAGGTTTAGGTCCTATTAAAGTGGGTAGGAAATACTTTCAGAGGTACAAAAGGGCTTTAGTTTAAGGTAAACTAGCTGATCCATTTTTGCCAGAAATCAATTTGTGTCTGTGAAAAAAAATCTCCTTTTAAAATATATATGTCTCAGTGCTTTGCTGAATAAGGACATAACACTCTACGGAAGATATGAAATAATATCTATAGTCTGAAATCTTTTGCTTCTTTGCAAGCATAAGTGATCTGAATCATACCATTTCTGGGATGTGACTAGATTTATCTTGAGCAACCTTAATTACTTTGATGTTAAATTGGATAAATAATATATATATTTCTCCTTTGATGGTACGTGGGAATCTGATTTTATTTTTTTTTTCCTTCCTATAAAATCATTCCATCTCAGCCAATGCGGTTGCTTTGGTTAATCTCCTTGCTTTGCTTTAGTGTTCTGCCATTACTGTGTGTCACCAATGACTGTATTGCAAATATTTTTCCTAGCTAAGCATATTTGAATACACAAAATTTGGTTATTTTATAAACATGTATTTTCAGTTGCAAGGCAGTTGCATTCAGAAACTTCAATGTAATGGGAAAATCTCTCCTGCCTTAGAAATAGACTGTACCAAAAGGATTTGGTGACTGAAGTTTAACAAGCAAGTCCTGACAGAATAGATGCAATTTAAACAGGCCAAATTATACTTTTGCTTCCATTATTTCCCCAAGGGTTTTAACTAACACCAAAATGTGACAGAAAAACTCAATAAAATTATGCTCTTAACCAACTTTGTGATGCAGATGGAGTTCCTGTTGTAAGAGTGCCCCGAGCCTGTGTCATATACCCAGGTGTGGTTCTTGCCTTGAGGTTATAATCATGCAAGCAAACAAAACACTGTCTGGTGCCAAAGGGTTACAGCTGTCAGGTTAGGTAAGGGTAGGGTGGTGTTAGATAGCAGTAGTTTATTGGACTGTATAATTGAAAGTTACGAGACGTATTCCAAGCTGCAGTCGTCTGCTGTGCAATGCATGACATGCGCTTAAGTTAGGCATTCCCTCATTGCTATTAGTATCACATACCTAGCAGTTCAAATGGTAAGCACAAACGCACATACAGATATAAACCCAAAACAAAATACATTTCCATTGTTTGCAGCTGAAATGACATGGTTTTTTTTAAAACCTTCATATGAGACAATTCTACTCATCAAATATTTATGAGTTTAATATCGTAAGAATGGGTATGATGGAATTTATAAAGTTTGAGATTAGGGCACAAGTCTAGAGGCAGTGGAATCGGCATGCTCTAGCCTTCATTTTCCAGACTTCTCAAAGAGAGCATTCCAGAAATCGCACCAAGCAAGCTTCGGTGAAAGATACGGCTCAGATATGGAGCAAGCTCAGTAGGCTGGTCTGGGGCCCTGTGAACACTGGGGTGCACTTTGCACTCAGGCAAGCGGTTAGCATGCACTTGCGTTCTGAAATGGCATAGACAAAGTTTTGCAGACTCAAAGAAAAGGGCATTCTTTTGAAAACATTACTTCTTTCTGTAAGGAGGACAAAAAAAGAACAGGGGTTGGGGAGATTGGTATAGAAAAGGGTAAGGGACAGTAACCACATCTGTGTATATTAACTACAAATTCACAAGAAGACGGAAGGAAATAACAGAGGGAGGCTGTGGCCTCCCTTCCCTGATTACCAGAACTGAGAAGAATCATACAGAAACAGCTGAGTAGTCCTCTTGCATAATAGCTTCTGCTCTGCACGTCATAGGGAAATATGCAACCCCAGATGCTCCGTTTTTGTGCTAACCAGCCTCAGAAAACTGAATCTACAAACAGGAAGGCATAGAAGCCAGCTTGAACACAGCTGCACTGGGTTCTTGCTCAGCGGATTTGGTAAATGACTGCCTGCTCATGTACGATGAATGAACACTGCTGCAGGCACAGTCAGTGTGTGCCCATTCTGGGATGGGGAAGCTGGGAACTGAACCTGCAAATCTGAACCATGTCATGGTAATATTTTGTCTATCTGCTGTCATTTTAAGAAGGAGAGAAAATATTTTCTCATACCTACTCTAGCTATGGTAACATATCTGGAAACTGTCACCTAATCATGTAATTACACGACTAGCAATTTAATACCCTGTGAATCTTTGCTTGGCTCAGTTAAGTCCAACTAGCTCATCAAGTTGTAACCAAATATTCTAAGTTTCTAGGCCAAGCTCAGCCATCAGCTGCACCCACACAAACTCATTGATTGATGCACAGAGAGCTGATGGGAGTTTAATTTATGGTAGAATATAGCCAGATCTCTTTATCTTACTTTACGTTACCAGGTTTTCATCTTAACAGTTGTCTATAGCCTGATCTGCTTAAATTTACTGGAGTAGCTTCAGTACTGACTTTTTGTTCACAAAGTAACTAGATTAGTGTCACAAATAACATGTTTGGCTGTGGAATAGATGTCTGCACATTCTCTGCCAAAGACCTTGCTTCATAGACATTAGATCCTTCTCTTTGTCTTGGGTGAGAAGGCTAATGTTAGGAAAGGAAAACGACTGGCCTCCAATGAGCATAATGTCCTGTTACTCCCTTGAAGGTTGCAGAACTTTATCTCTATCCCAGTCATCAGAGAGGCTAAAGATCATTTTGCCTCCATCTGTGCTGTTTTGGGGGATTTTTCCAAATGCTTGTAACAGCATTTTTCAACGTAAATAGGATTTCCTGCAAGATCTGAATCCAGAATTTTAGGGAATCTATTTTTCTACATGGCCTATAAAGCTTTGGAGATCTTAAAGCAGAATGCTTATATAAAAAAGCCCCTTTTTATCAAACGATCTAGTGGTAGTATGCATTCATAGTCATACGCTTTTACTGTAACATTAAAGAAGCAGCCAAATGTCCAGCTTTTTAGCAGCGTGGGGACAACGATGTGTGTTTTGTTGTATCTTGTACATCACCAGCTGCCAAGCTGTCGTGAGTTACACACCCACAGGGGGTACCACAGATGTCCCTGCGGGCAGAGGTACAGCCTTGGTGTCCGCACAACTGGTGATACTCTACGTAAATACAAGAATTCAGTGTGCTACAAGGAACACAGAGTCAGCAGTCACAAAAGCCCCGTATTTTAATTATTAGCTGTACACTTTCAATCAGGGAATGCTAGAAAAATATTTCAGAATTTGTATTTTAGTCAGTTTCCAGGACAGAACTGTACTTAAAAAACCACAGCTAATTATGAAGAATCTCCAAGGATGCCTCCGCCAATTCACAATTTTCTGTAAGGATGCCTTTGTTCAGGGATGGCAGCAGCCCTGCCCCTTTCCCACACCACACTCCCACCTATGTTCTCCTACTGTTCCCAGACAGGCATTTCCTGCTGGCCTGCAATGTGTCTGCTCCCCTTTTCCAGACTGGATGGACCTGCAGTACTGCTCAGGATTCTGCCGCACGCGCCTGTCTGTTCCTGCGCAGTGCGGTGAAGGGGACAGGCTCTGCAGGGCACTGCAGCATGTTAGGCTCAAGCTGTGTGCTTGCGGTGAGTGTCCTCCTGCTATCCTAAAGGTACTGTTCTGAGTCTGAGGAAGCAGAGCGATGTTGCTTGGACACTCAAGGACATGAGAGCAAGCCCTGGTATGTCACTTCTTAGGGAAACCTCCATGACTTCTCCAAGCAGCCAGACTTAGCACTGCATATTTAGGCCCTTAAAAGCAGCGATATGGGTGCAAAGAGTCAGGGAGTCCTTTGGGGTTGGGAGACGTGGTTGCATTTGCCCTTTGCTGCAGGTAGGGATCTCTTTGATCAGAATTGCCCATGAAAACGTTAGAGGGTTGTTTGTGGCTTACAGCAGTCTTGTACAGTTCCTCCCGACCCTCATTAATGTTTCCATGTACAGTTAGTTTACGTGTTGCTTATAAAAGTAGTAAATAAACTTTTCAGATAGGAGGCTGATTACTAAATTAATGGTGTCCTTCTAAAGGTCTTTAATTTGGAGGATATTTTAGAACTTGCTTTCATTTCCAATCTCTCTATTTACAAAGCAAGTCTGTGTAAG